AAATAATTTTTAGAAATTCACTAAATTTTGAGTTAAGATAAGAAATAAATTCAATGAAAAATATACAGTTCGATAGAGAAATGAATGTTGTATCCAGCTATTTAAAAAAGAAAAACGAGTCATTTCTCCGGTGGGTCACAAATGTATTTAAGAAAAATCCATACACTACTAGGAGAAAAAGTTTTTATTGACTGTCGAAACTTAGCTTTCAAAACTTACTAATTTTTTGGAGGCAAGATGGGAGATAAATCAGATTAAAACTGTTGAGTTCGATAGAATAATCAATGCTGTATCCAAGCATATAAAAATAAAAAATCTGGGTCGTTTTACTGAAATACAGTAAACCGAAGAAAACGGTCAAAAATAACGTAATCAAGCTGTAGAAGTTTACAGTTCAGTTGATATTAACCAATTTTATGCTCTGGTTGAAAGAAAAACTTCATTGAATTTATTTCATGATTATACAGAGAATTCTAGAGATAGAAATCAAACGAATTATCTGAGTTTATTAAAAGAATCTTATTTAGTGTTCATAAGAGATTTCATATTGACTTTAAATGAAAAAGATGAACACATTGTGGAATCAGATCAACCGACTTCAATTAATATTAGATTAAATTAAAAAATTCAATGAAGAAAGTTTAAAACTAATTCATGATTCGGAAAAAAAAATAAAGAATTCCTTCATAAGATAATTCAAAGGTGAACATTGGAACGAAAAATTAATATTGAATGAAATTGTATTAAACGAACATAAAATAACACAATTAGCAATCTCAAAAGATGTTAAACTTGAAGAATTGAAATCAACATGGTTGAACACAAAAGATTTAGATAAATATTCTAAATATGAAAATGATGTAACAGATATGAAAGATTCATATAAGAAAAGTGCAACTTTATTCGAAATGAGCAAAATATATAAAGATAAGAAACCAAGTTTAAAACTTTATTTGAAGAAATCACTCGACTTTTTAAACAAATCTATTGCAATTGATGAATTTATTATTAGTTCCAGCAGTTATGATTATGATATGGATGAATCGTCAAGTAAACAAATTCAATTAGCAAAAAAAATACGAATTACGAGCTTTGATTTATCTCGATATGGCAAAGAAATATGATTTTTCTTATTTCGAAAAAGTGGATTATTTCAATAAAGTAAAATATGATTTCAATCATTTTGAAAGATTAACGAGCAAGGAAGAAAATATTGAATTTAATGAAAATAATTTTATAAATTTATTTAACAGAGCATTTTTATTAAATAATGATTTATCAATGAATTTGTATGATGAAATCTTGAAAATAAATCCGTATTTCTTCGAAGCACAATATCAAAAATTATTGAAATTCTATGAAACGAACGGTTGTGCAAAAATTTGTCATTTACATGAAAGCTGTCAAATAATCAGACAATCAGATAAGGCAATAATAAATTTACTTGAAATTTTAATCGGTGAAGAAAACTATGCCAACTTTGTAAGTGACAAATTATTAGCTTTTATAAATAAAACAGTGAAAGTAAAAGTTACAAACAATCAAAACCAATCTTTATACTTGAAATTCATCAAAACACAGTTTTCCTATCAACTACAGTTTAACAATGAAGAACAACTAATCAGTTTACTAAAATATGGTAAAAGAAGCATGATACAAATCAGAAAGAATTCCGATAAATCATCAAAACTCAAATATCAATTATCAAACCCTGATAATGAACTTATCGGATAGAATTGACCAGCAAGAAACAAATTTTTCTGATATAATTCAATTGTTTAAAAAATTAGAATTAGTCAATGAAACTCAATATAAAGAATTGAATGAAAAGTTTTTGAAGTTATTACCAGAAACAAGATTTAATTAAAATCATCTCAAATTCAGATTCAGACAAAAGGAGAACCTGGCACACGAGGTGGAGATGATGATTTAGGAGGTGATGCTGTTTTAGGTGGATTTGTTGGACATACCGGTATTATTCATATAGAAGAAAAACAAACTGTAATTACTGATACATCTCTAGAATAGTCGAATCAATTGATAAATCTAATAACAACGGAGAAGATGAACTACCAGGTGAAGGTGGCAAAGGTGGTATTGGCGGATCTGATGGAAATGATGTTCTCTGGCATAAATCTACCGCGTTTTCAAGAAATAAGATTTATCGAGGATATATCGAAATATTAAGCACTGAAGATACATTTTTCTCGTTTAATGTCAATTTTACTTATAAAAAGAAGCGCAAGATAGTCACTGATCTTGACATACTTTTTCGCTTCCATTATCCCTTTTACAGTCTAATTTTTGCTATTGGTTAATCTGGACGTCTACGCCGTGAATTTTTTAAACTGGTTTTCGAGAGTTTATAGTTAATTAATAAAATAAAACTGTCTTCGTGAAAGATATTTAATGTATTAATCAGGAGAATGGATGACCGGTAATTGTCGAGATCGATAATGAGTGAAGTTTGTTGCTATAACAACGATGAACGTTAATGGTCCATTAGTAGTACATAAAGAAGAGAGAGCAATAATTTTTTGGTAAATTGTTGGGGTGTTTGCATATTCTATATTGCTAAGAGGTAGCATTTCATGTGATTGTTTGTTTAAAACATTTTTTCACATTCTCAGTAATTGATTCCAGCATTTGGAGATATTCGGAACATAACAAAAAGAATGATACGTGTCTTTTTCAAAGATATTCGGTATGTGTAATTGGTAATGGAAGTCGCTTTTAAGATCATTTTTTTCTGTGGCCGTTAATGGCTTGTTAAAATACATGTAACAGTGTATTGTAGTCGTTAAATCCAGTTTCATGTAATTGATATTTGTGTTTTGAAAGCAGAAAAAAGTCATATGAGTTTAGATCTATAGAATATGCTAGATTTGGATATGATTCCATATAGTTTTCTGTCAAAAATAACCCATATTTTCTGTGGCATTTTCATAGTGAAAACTGGATAATGCAATGGATTGACATCGAGCAAAAAAAATTGTATAACTTTCAATAGACAAGAATGATTGAAATAACTCCTGACGAAATGATGCTCAGGATGTCCTCTATCCGTTTGTATGTTCAATGAGAATCATCTTCAATTATTGCTTGAACAGCATTATAGCAGCTGTAGGGCGATTGAATTGGCTACATCTTTAGTGATTGCCTCCAGCGGTATACAAGATGAATTGACTGCAGTTCGTTCTGGCGTTGCATTCTGAAGGGACCCAGCAGCCATTTTCCGTGAAATATCAGATGATGAAAGTTCTGGTGAACTTTGAAACTTGCTACTACAGTGCGCGCTAATTGATTTTCTCCCTTCACTTTTTTATCGTTTTTATCAATAGGCTTCTTTCGTTTATTAACCTCCTATATTTTATGGTACATTTACATTGAACAACAAACGATTTTCAATAATTCATTATTTCTTCAATTTTTTTCCACATGCACCGATGTCAAATTCATCATCTGCGTATGATTCCCCGTATCAAACTGACTCTAGAAATACACAATCTTCACTGATTAACAATGCAAATACTATAGACAATGATGATGGCGTTAAGATGAAATCGTCTTTAGAGACACATGAGGTTGAAACCGAACATAAAATCGATTGGGAACATTTTGAAGTTATTGATGGTGATAAAAATTTATATTACTTGCTGATAAAGGAGAGCTTGATGATCAAAACGCTAGAGCCAAAATTAAATCGTACAACTCACTCTGTTCCGATGATCATTTTTCCAGAAGAAGTACTTCGAAGAAAACAAAGAGAGAAAAGAAAAGAGATAGTAGAGTCAAAGACGCGAAATACACACAGACGAACACAGTTGTGTAACAAAATTCTTTTCTTTGTATTTTGTGGTCTAGAAAAGAAAGGTTAGATAGTAAAAAGAAAAATACTTGAAGAGAGAAAACCGTACAGTATATA